TCTCTTCTCTTTTTCTTTGCAGTACACTTGATAAACACCCCTATATCTCATCCTCCCACATACTTCAGAGTAGAGGCTCTCCAAGCGTTTGATTACTAATCATAGGAAGTCATTTTACAGTCTGACCCAGAAGACACACACACACCCCCACACACCCAGTCACACACGCATGCATGAGCATACCCACCCACACCCACTCACACCCACGCAAACAAAATAAATTTCCTGGATAAGATTTCATTTTGTACAAATGATGACCTCTGACATTTCCTATTCTAGTCCAGACTCTTTCCTTTTCCTTTCAATTTTTTTTTTTTTTTTTTTTTTGGAAGGAGGAGCTGGTCATGAGGCACTAAATTGATTTCTATCTCCTTTAATGGCCTGCAACCTGCAGCTTGAAAAACATGGCTGGCAGAGGGCGTGCTGAGACCCGCCGAGAGCACCTCCCCAGCCAGGCAATCCAGACCCAAAGCACCCTTGTGTCACAAGGGTGGTTTTGCTTTGGGCCCCTGTCAGCTTAAGAAAGTTCTCATTTGGTCACTGCCCCACTTAGTATAGAGCCTAGAGAGGTGTTGGGTGAGGATGGCACAGAAGAAAGGAGCAGGTTGATAACCGCAGGAGTAACACCGGCATCCTCTGCGGCTGAGCAGGCGCTAAGTCAGGCTTTGTCTGCCTCAGCCCTCCCAGGACCTCAGGGCTGAATGCTGATCCCCCAGCACAGTGTGAGCAGGAACTCGGAGGAACCTGAGCTCCACCAGGAAGTTAGCCCAGAGGCTGCAGCACCTGCTGCCCCCCCCCACTGTACCCCCCCCCCAGTAAGTGAAAAATTCCAGAGTAAGAGGACCCCAACCTACCAGTTTAGACCTTTAACTCACCCTGGAGGCCTCAACTGTAAAAATTCTACTTACTTTACCCCCAGGGTCTCATTTAACAAAAATGGTCAACACCTGTTCAAGACCCACTCTGTAAACCCCTGACCCTCTTGCTAAACAAAACTGGTCAGAACCGGTTCAGGATCCCATCTGTGAGCCCCTGTCCCTTCAAAATATCAAGTTTTTATATTAGCAGCCTCAAGACTCCAGGAACGATTCTCTCTTGAACCTGATGCCCTCTCGCCTGCAATACTGCTTTGCTTCTAATCCACCTCCTCGGACCGCTGCGTGAATTCTTTCCTGCACTGAAGTCAAGGAACCAGGAACAGGTTCTGACTTGGCAGCCCCGGGCCCATCAGACTCAGCACGGAGACAGCACGGCGAAAGGCCTGACCGGGATCAGCTGAGATCCACCGGCCACCGGTATCTGCGTGTCCACAGCCCTGAGTGTTCTGTTCCGCAATCTGAAGGTTCTGGGGGGACCTCTGATTTCATGTAGAGCTGCCTGAGTCTGTGCTGCTATAACAAAGTGCTGTAGATAGGGAGGGTGGGGGGATTATAAAGTTATTTATTTCTCAACAATTCTGGAGGCTGGAAGTCCACATCAGGGCAGCAGCACAGTTAGATTCTGGCTGCAGACTGCCAAGTGGTGGCAGACAAAGGACCAGAAAGCTCTCTGGGGTGTCCTTTAAAAGGGAACTAATTCCATTAGCCCTCCACCTCAGGGCTCCATTACTTCCCAAAGGCCCCACCTCCAACCTTCACATCAGGAGTTAGGATTTCCACATAAGAATTTTGGGGAGAGCACTGGGAGAACCCGTTGGGGTCCTTGTTTCATTCCCAGAGGTTCTGGGGCCCTTGAAATGGTAGAACAAGACTCCAAGTGTGTTTTTCTGGCTGGCTTCTCAAAGCAGTCTAAGACCCGCAGATCTCTCTGGCTGAGTGAAAGGATCCGAATGTAAACACAGTTGCTGCACAAGGGTAGATCCAAGGGTGTGTGGCGGGCAGGGTCAGAACAATGAGGTTGTCTGTAGATCCCTGTGGGACAGGAAGTTTGTGTGGGAAGGAGCTACATGTACTTGAAGTGAGTGGGTGATGGGGGAGATCCTACTCCGGAGGGGAGTGGAGGCTGCGGACATCTGCTTCCTGGTGAATAAATGAGGGATTGTTCTGGATTGGATTTCCCAGAGTCCTGCAGATGCCTTGAGGCTCATCACCCCAGGCTTTAACCTGAGCTGGTCCTTCCTTTTGTTTGGATGGAAAAGGAGCGTTGGGAGAGGTTAGAACAGTCCCAACTGAGGAACATTCTACCAAATACCTGGCCCACACTCCTCAGAATCTTCAAGGTCATCTAAAAAAGTCAGAGTGAGAAACTGTCACAATTAAGAAGGTGCTAAGGAGACATAATGACTAAATGTAACAGAGGTTCCTGGATTGGATCCTGGAACAGAAAATAAAGGACAAAAGGCAAAGGCAAAAACTAAGGAAATCTGAACAAAACATAGACATTTGTTAGAAATAACGTATCAGTGTTGGTTCATTAATTGTGACAATATACTAATATGTCTATAATAGAGGACACTGGGTGTGGGTGATTTGGGGACTCTGTACTATCTTTACGACATTTCTATAAATTTAAACTATTCTAAAATTTAAACATTATTAAAGAGAAGACTGCAGCTCACTGGCTAATGTCTAAGATGCTCCCCAATGTTAACTGTCCCTAAGCAGTTTGTGAAACTAGCCTGGGCCAGGGCCTGGGTGGCAGGCAGGTTCTGGAAGTTCTGAACGTGATTTGCAGGCAGCACCTGAGCAGCACCTGAGCACCAGAAACTGCAGTGGAATGGGATTTCTACAAGATCTTGGGGTCTTGCCCTTGGTGTCTAACCAGAATGGAGCCTACTCTCAAGAAATGTGTCTGAGCATTATACATACACGTGACACACACTAGTATCTCTTTCCTCTCCTTTTGCTACTGAACATCAACCAGTACCCCCCCAAAATACCCTGCTCATGCATCCTGGTAATGACTGCATTCTCCACTCACCTGCGCAGTGCCCTTCTCACCTGCCAATCATCATGTGGCCTCAGAGCCCCGGTGCTGGCGTCTAATGCCCTGGCCATCCATGCTACTCCTGTCTTAGCTCAGCCTTGGCCACTGCCAATCCCTCTAACCTAATCCTTTAAAAAAAATATGACCAAATATTTCATACAAAAGGTACTGAGAATGTAAGACTCACCATGAACAAGAAACAAAACTTGCAGTCAAATGAAAGCTGTCTGTGCACCAAGCCCAATGCATCCCCACCCCCCAGCTGCCTCCCTTCCTGCTCTCATTTGTCTGGCTGTGCCCTTGCCCAGCGGGGGCTGCTCTGACCAGCCCGTCTGACCTTGCCGTCCTTGCTCTCCTGCCCAGCACCCTTCTCTCTCTCTCTGACCTCTGCGTTTGTTTTCAGAGTCTTTTGTCACTTTCTAACATACTGTGTGCAATTAATTAATTTATTATATCAGTATTAATTGTGAGGGCTCCCATAACAAAATACTATAGGGAGGCGTAAACAATAGAAGCTTATTTTCTCATAATTCTGGGGCCTGGAAGTCAAGGTATTGGCCAATTTGGTTTCTCCTGAGGTCTCTCTGTGTGCTCAGGTGCCCGTCCATTCCAGATGCTTCCCGTGGCTCAGATTTTCTCTTCTGACAGGAAACCAGTCACACTGGCTTAGGGCTCATGCTAACAGCCTCATTTTAACTTAGTCACCTCTTGAAAGACCTTATTGTAAAATCTGTTCATTACATTCTGAAGTCCTGGCTGGGGGTTAGGGATTCAACACCCAAATTTGGGAGAAACTCAGTTCAGCCCATAGCAATATCTATGGATTTATCCTGCCTTCCTTCATTGTAATTTATGGTCAATGTTGGTTTCATCTGTTCTATTTATTGGTGAATCTTAATGGCCTAGAACTTCTCCTGGCACATAGTAGGCACTTGATAAAGATTTAATTGGACTTTTACCTTGACTAGGATTTCCAAGTCAATGCTAACTTGCAGCCATGATAGATCTTAAGTCATCTTAATTTTCTTTGACTCCAATGGAAATAGTTTCAAAGTCTAACCATTAAATATGATTATGTTTGCTTCAATATTTTGAATAAATATATCTGTTACCAGATTAAGGGAGTTCTCTATTTCTAGTTTGCTGAGAGATTCTGTTCTGAAAAAAATTTGAATTTTATTGACAGCTTTCTCTGCAGTCAGCTGAGATGACCTGTAGGTTTTTTCCTTTAATGTTAATAGAGTGTTTTACAATACTAGATACCCTCGCATTCCTGGGATAACATTGCAGGGTTTTAACCAGGCGATTAACATGATCTGATTTACATTTTGAAAAGTTCATTCTGGCTGCTGTGTGGAGAATGCATTGTATGGAGTGAGAGTAAAAGCAGGAGGATCAGCTCAGCGTCTGTTACAGTAATCTGGGCGAGAGATGATGGGAAAAGTGGAAATGGAGATAAGTAGGAGGATTAGCCCTACAGTTTGAAGCTACAACTGAGGAAACTCGCTGATGGGTCAGAGGAGGGGAGCACGAAAATTGAGCACGACTGCTAAGCTTTGGTGTGAGCAACGAGGTAGCCCCGCTTGACTTAGTGGAGAATGCAGGGAGGGCAGGAGCAGGGCTTCCAGGTGCCTGTTGAACACCCGAGTGGGGACAACGACAGTGTGTGTGTGCAGCTCAGGAGTGAGTCTGAGCTGAAGATACAGATGAGGGAGGAATCAGCATGATGGTATTTATTTCTTAATGTCTAGAGGTGTTTTTTTTCCTTCTTCATACTTGTCATGCCACGAATTCATAGGGAACGGATCCCAGGACCTCATCCCCTTTGCCATGGCGTCTCCAGTATCCGGGGAGCAGGCTGGCGCTGCCGCTGGACCCAAGTACCTACCTCGTTGGCTTCCTTTTTTCCTAATAGTTTTCTTTCATATGCTTCAGGAAGCGACCTTGCCTCTTCATGTGCTTGGTATGCTCGTATGGACATGAATTCTCTTGGTAAGAATCTTGCCCTTGTTCACAACAATGCGCAGTGCATGCTGGGTAACAGTATGGTGCCTTCCAGTGCTGCCATGGTAACGTGTGTGGGGTCTTCCTTTTGAAACAGGGCCCATCTCCTGGATGTCCACAGTAGCACCTTTCCCTTGAGTCTGAATGGATGTGGTCGTGGTGCGGGCCTGTCCTCATTCCTTTTGTGTTGGTCATTGTGGTGATTGACCGGAAGATGGCGGCTCTGGCCAGGCTAGAGGCGGTGTTTAAAGCCATGGCCACGGTGCTGTCACCAAGTGAGAGAGTGACAAAGAGAACAGGAAGGCCCGTTTCTGAGCTTAGAACTCTCCAGCGTTCATTATAGGTGGGGCAAAGGCCAGAGGCCGGGAAGAAAGGATGGCTGTGTAGTGGGAGAAGCCTGGAGAGGTGACAAATTAAGGCAGGTCTGTCTGACCCCCAAATGCTGTTGAGCAGTGGGGAGGATAAGAGCATTCAGGTGTCCAGTGGTCATGGACGGAATTTGTTAAACGAGTCTTTCCCGATCTTGTTATTTTGTGTGAGGAGGAAACCAAGGACTATTTGCCCAGAGTATGAATCAAACAAAATGGCCTCCGCCCCCGGCGAGATTCTCCCCCTACTGGAGGGTGACTTTTCTAAACCCCTTCTCTTCAATAGAGCGTCTCTGGATTGACCCTTAGGTTCCCAGCAATTCTGTGACCCATCACGTTGAGTTTGATTTTGCCTGACTCACAGAGCTATAAATACGAGTTTCTCCACACATGAATTCCTCTGACGCGGTAAGCAACCTCCAGGGCCATGGAGTTCACAGGGAGGCGCACCACCTCACCCCTGCCCTGAAGGTTCATTTTAAAGATTAAAATGAATTTAAATTACCTTCATGGAGACAGTTTCAGGACACACCCTCTGAGATAACATTTACAAATAACTTTGGGAATCCCTGCTGCAAGATGTCAAAACAATTGCTGGCAAGAGTTGAAGGTATGCAGCGGGTTACCCGAGTCTGGAAAGACGGCCTTGCCTTAGCTGGGTGGCACTGGAGCTTAAAGTTCCTGCCTTTGCGATTTATGTTTGGCCAAGAAAGTGGGAGGGCCCCTTCCCAGCCATGTTCATTTAGTTGTTCCAATTTCAACAAGCCCTCCCTTTCTTAAACAACCCAGATGAGTCTCAACAAAGGTAATTTTCTGCTTCTGTGGTTCAGTTCGATTCATCTTTTTAAAAGCAATTAGTATCCCTTTAGAGTTCTTTTATGCCCGACTAATTGGGCCTTGGTTCAAGAGTTATAGCTTCTTTCTATCCATTTAGACAACTACAGTAATATCTAATTAAAGTCCAGCCCAGACAAAAATGCATATTTTGGATAACATAGCCCCCTCAGCTTTGTAAGTATTTAAATCTTCACCAGCAGGAGAAAGAAGAGAATCCATTTTTATTTTAAGGATTCTTGAGAAGGGCATATTTCCAATTAACTAGATATCAGAAGAATTGGAAGCTAGCACAGTGAGAGGTCTTAAATATGCATTCAGAAAAATTCCACTACTCCTTTGAACCTAGTTAGTTGACTTGTATTTTTCCTTTGTAAACCATACTGCTTGTTTACCTAAGCCTGGTAAGGCAATCTAGACTCACCAACACACTGACCCGATTAGACAGATCTTTTTACGCTGTAGACAGCTTTAGAGGCATTCCAGGTGTTATGGGAAAACAGCTGGCCCGGCATGCTTTTTGTTTCCAGGAGAGAGAGCAGATGAAAGAGAATCACAGAATTTTAGAGCTCAAATCTTCAAAGAAAGACACTCATAATTCTGTAGGCCAACAATCTCATTAATGGCAAAGGCAGGATTTGAGAAGTTGGTCATTTAGTCCCAGTTCGGTGTTTCTCCTGCTAGCGTGGTAGTTTTTGATCTGCAGTCCATTGGAAGCACTTGGGGAGTTAGAGCAAAAAACAAAACCTTCTCCAGAGACAGAGATTTAATTGATCTGGGGTGTGGTCCAGGCACTGGGTTTTTAAAACTCTCCTTTGCCCACTAGAGGTAGTGGAGGGAGGCAAAAAGTCAACTGATTTGCAAGACATGTATTTGCAATGTATTTGCAATATATTTACTCTTTTCCATTTGACCTCACCTATGCCTAGGATGAATTCCTGAGTTAAAAGAAACTTATTGAAATTCAACCCCAAGTCTTCCTTTCCGATTTATAACATCTAGCTGTCTTCTTTAAGTAAAGAGGGCCTGGGACAGATTTCTGCTTGGCTCCTGGGCAGGAGTAAACATTTAGTAAACAGAATGGTTTAGAAAAATGTAGAGGTTGTGGAGCCAAAAGAATCATCTCATCTCCTAGGAAGCAATTATGATACCTGAATGGCAAGACTCCCATTAAAAAAAAAAATCACAGCACTGTGAAAAGGCACACTCAGAATTACTCTGGAACTTTCCACTGGAGAAAAAGGGAGCGAGGCATTGGGCCAGTTTGGCAGAAAGCTGGATAGCAGTTTGAGGCTAAGTGATGACGAGAGGCAATGGGGTGACCACCAGAATTCAATATGGTGATGCAACCTGCAGCAGGCAGATACACAAACACGAGGTATTGATTTTGGCAATGACTTTCCTTTATTTTTTATGTCGGGAGCCAGCCAAGTCGGAAAAACCATTGGCGGCCCCAGGCTTTAAAGTTGAACCTAGAGCTGGTGGGTCCAGCAGAACTCTTGCTCAACTCTTTTGCCCCGCATCTGTTTGGGGGTGTCTAGCTCCTAGCTGAGAGTACAAGAGAACCATGAAACCTAAGCCTCAGCTTGCTAATCTTTCCCAACAATTCCAAGTAAACCATTTACCCGATGAAGTTGAAAGTTTCCTCTGTTCAACTCAACGGTGAGAAATAAAAAGAAACTCCCTCAACTTGCCCAACTGGTTCTGAGACTTGAACCGCATCCAGTTCCTTTATATAATACATAACCCAGGATGCCAGTCCCAGCTCCACTTGACTGTTCACAGCAACACCCAAATCCCACAACACACACCGTCTCCCTGGATGGATTTGTCTCCCTTTAACAAGTCCCAAAGATTCTAGTGTCACACCTTTTTTTTTTTTTCAGGATCCACAGAAAAGCAAACAATTTTAAAAGCAGCATTTTGTAGCAACAAAGACTAGGAAAGAGTGGCTAAGTGAATGACAATCATAGAAACAGCCAATTAACTGTAAATCCCTGTTGTCTGCAGGCTGAACCAGACTGAGCGCTGGAGAAGGAAAAGCAGCTGCAGCCCAATTAAACTCAGTAGCTCAGGTGCCTCGGGAGGATTCTCTCTTGTGCTTTACCTAAACAGATCTGCCTTCTTAGAGATCTTAGGGGATTGCTGCACAGAAACCCGGGCTCTGATGTTTCCTTCTTTATTGCTGTTGGTAACTGAGCTAAAATATGCATATAAGCAAATCGAGAGCATGGAAGGGTCACCACCACAGAAAACATGCTTTTTTTGGGCATCTACAGGAGAAAGGAAGACCGCTGGACCCTGCAACAGAGCAGACTCGAGAAATCACACTCGCACAGCCCGGCAGCTGAAGAGGATTACAGAATTGGCATCCACTTAGAAAGTCTTTGGGAATCCTTCTGAGCCTTCAATTACTGAGTTTGGAGGCTCCAGGATGCCCTCTTATGAAATGGACTCAGATAGACAGGCTGACATAACCGCCACCCTCAGCGCCGGGCACACTGTGAGGCCCATAAAATGCTTTTTTCAGTTTTTGTTATGTTTGATCTTTCCCACCGTTTTTCTGCGAGGGAAGGGCTTTCCAACTTCCATTCCTGATCAAAATGTTGTCTTCTCCTTAAATCAATAAATCTGGACAGCAGGTTTTTTTGCTACCTGAAGAAGCGCTGCAGCACAGCAGATCCCCTCCTTCTGGTCCTGGACTATTGTAGGTTAGAATCATCCAGACCATTTGTTTAAAAGCTCCTCAACCTACAACCAGAGTTTTCTTAGTACCCCAAAACTTACACCATGTTGTCAATTAAAATTTTTTTAACCTTCATAGGCAAATTTAAACATACACAATATTAGAGAAAATGGTATAATGCACCCCATTTACCCATCACTTTGCTGCAATAACAATCGACATTCTGTTAGTCTTGTTTCAGTCTATCATCTAGAACACTTCTTTGGAGCAGGTGGGACTAGTATACCAGCGAGCATGTCCTTTGACTCATCAGTTCTTCAATATGTTCCTCTAACTGGTAATGACTTTTTTTTTAAAAAAAAAACATAGCCACAATGCCATCTTCACAAAATTTTCCACATTCTGGATTTGACTTGAGTGTATCCTCATGGTGCTGGGATGATTGTTGTGTTGTTGTTTTTAACATGCTCCCCTATCTTATTTTCTGTAACTTGATAGTTAGATGCTTGGTTAGATTCAGTATTTTTTTGACAAGAATATTCCACAGAGGAAAGAACATTATATCTAGCTATTCCACTTTTAGTTGAGATTAATCAGTGGCTTCAAGTGCTGTCAGCTTGGTCCATTCATTATAAAGTTCTCCATCAGCATTTTATTTAATGGCCTTAGGAGTCTATTTGATCACGGCTTGGATCTACTACTTTTTTTAAAAAAAGATTTATTTATGCATACAAGAGTGGGGGTGTAGGCCAGAGGTGTGGGGGGCAGTGAGAGGATTCTCCAGAGACAGAGTGGGGAGCAGAACAGATTGAGTGATATACACTGCTGAGTGAAGCAGCAGGCGAGACAGGAGAGGTCTGCTGCACCATATGGGCTTAGCTGGGGGACCGAACTCGTGCTGCAGTGGCTGCCAATAGATTCTTAGTGTTGAGACTTAACCCCTTGCGCCACCAGAGAGGCCCTGAATCTACTATTTCATTAAGGGTTACAAATTGGTGATTTCTTGAGTTCAATCTTCCTGCAATATTAGCAATGATTTTATATAGAAGAAATTTCCTTCATAAACTGTTTGGTCACCAAGAAATATAAGGAAAGGTAGGATAAAAGCTTTAGTCTTTCCCCGTATTTATCATTTTTATATTTATGAGAATGATTGATATCCTAATATTACCAAAAGGTCTTCAATGAAGTTAGAGGGGATGGGACCCTGTGGGCACACACATTTTTATGTATTTGATGTGTTTAAACACATTGTAGTTGTTACTCCATTTCATGATCAAATTGTACCCTCTTTGGTCAGTGGGATCCACGCTATGTTGGCTCCTGAGTGTGTGTGTGTGTGAGACAGAGAGAGACATGACCCCATAGTCTCTATAATTTCCTTGCTTTCAGGTATAGAAACATGCTCCAGGCTCATCCACCACAGACCTGTAATTAGCTCTTTCTCCAAGGAGACCTGATCCTTTCAGTGGGAAAGAGAATTAGAGATTCCCATCTGGGCTCTAGTGTGCTTGTAGCCACCAGTCCTGGCCCAAGAGTTCCCACACAGCCCACATCCAGTTTCCCATATTAATCACACTTGTCACAATTAATGGCCCCAAATTGCTACATTACTAAAGTCCACACTTCAGTCAGACATCTTAGCTTTTACCTTGATGTCCTTTTTCTGTTCCAGAATCCCATCCAGGACACGACTGCATTTGGACATCATGTTTTCTTAGGCTCTTTGTGACTGAGACAGTTTCTCACTTCTCTTGTTTTTGGTGACCTTGATAGTTTTGAGGAGGACTGGTCAAGCCTTTTGTAGAATGTTCCTCAATGAGGATTTGATATCTTTCTCCAGTGAGACTGGGATTATGTGTTCTGGGGAGGAAGACCACAGAGAGAGAGAGAGAGAGAGAGATATTTTATCTCGTCATCTCAATGTGGCTTATCACTGTGGGTGTTAACTTTGATCACTGGCTGAGGTGTGTTTGTCAGGTTTCCCCTCTGTCCAGTTGCTCCCTCTACCCCCACAAAAAGTCATTATGTGCAGCCCATACTTTAGAAGTGGGGTGTTAATTTCCACCATCTTGATGGTGGATAGCTACAGATATTATTTAGAATTCTTTTACATGGGTGATTTATCTCTCAATTCCCTTGTCATATATATATGTATATATATATATGCAAAAGATAGGGGAATATATATATATATTTGTGTGTGTGTGTGTGTATATATATATCTATATATCTCAATGTGGACACAGATTTTTATTTTACACTTTGGGTACACACATCAGTTCTACTTTATTTTTCAAATCGATTCAGTTTTAGTCACTGGTCTTCAGGTGGCTTTTGTGACCTTTTGAAATGCCCCACAATTTTCTGAGCACATTCTCACTTTCTGCTGCTATAAAATGCTCCAGGACCATCTCATATATTTTCTGCCCCAGTCTAAATAGGCCATTTCTCCAGAGTCCTGGGCCTTTTGTTGGAGAATGGTATTAGAGATCCGGGTATTGGGTGTGTTTATTGCTTTTGAGGTATCTTTGCTTCTGAACCTGCAGACTGACAGACAAACAAGGAAATGCATGCAAGGATAATAACATGTTCATGTACACATATCTCTGTTTCTATGTGTCACCAGTTATATCGACATTAAGCTAAACATGAGTTCACACTAATGTCTCCAACTCTGATTCATTAATGACCATGTGGATCACTTAAATTTCCACTTCTTATCTGTAATCTCCCTATAACCTCAACCGTGAGAAATCTGATTCCCATACATTTAGTTAGCTGCTCAATTCTAGTGTGTATGCATGTGTATAGCTGTTTCAATCTGTTTCTAATGTTTTCTTTCAGTTTAATTTTATTTCTTAACTGTAAAATACTTGGTTCGAAAGTCAAAACTATAAAGCAAACTGCATTCAGGGAAATCTATCTTCATCCTAATTCTCTCCTCAATGATAGCTCCCATATGGATAACAATTTTTATTATTTTTTTTAAAGATTTATTTTATTTACGCATTCAAGAACTGGGGTGTAGGCCAGAGGGGTGGGGTGGGGTGTGTGTGTGTGTGAGAGGATTCACCTGGGGTGAAAGTGGGGAGCTAACTGACTGAAATATACTGCTGAGGGGAACAGCGGGAGAAACAGGAGAGGTATGCTGTTCCGTGTGGGTTATCTCCCTGGCTGGGGATCGAACTCATGTCACAGTGGCTGGTGCTAGATAGATAGCTTGATAGCACTGAGACTTTAACGCCTCTGCCACCAAGGAGGTCATTTTTTATTAGTTTTTATTCTTTCATGGTTTCCTCTTGACAAATTAAGCAAACATATAGTCACGTGTCCACCTGTCTTACTCAAAATTGGACCTCCTCCTATTTCCCAGCTAGGTCTTTCTGCAGGAAGAGGAGGGTTTAATTTCTCTTCTGCTTACCTCCTACATTCACCTTCCCTCACTCTTCTGGCTAAGTGTGGCTTCTGATCTCTTAGTGGTTGAAGGGGGCCAAGGGAGAAAAGCTAAAGGAAGCATGGAAGTTCTTAGTTAGTGCTATCCTAATATGGCTTCACAATTTAAGAACATATTTTAGAGATGACTCTCTCCTGGTCTCTCTTGTGATTCTTGAGAGGCTCCTGGGGCAGCTTTAGCAGCATTTCCTGTGACGCAGTGAAGTAATGTCTTCGCAATGACACCCTCCTCTGTCCCCATTCCCAGCAGCCTCTCTCCACAGACTTCCAGGTGGTTCTCTTTGGCAGAGCTCCAAATGGTTCCCAGCCAGTCCTCGTCCCCACATGAACCACCTGCATGCCATGAGATAGGCCCCACATTCTTTGCCCCCACACACACTGCATTTGCAGGCTGCCTGAGACAGACACTGCTCCTATACTTTGTTCACGAGAACAACTAGCCAACCCATTTTTACTTCTTAGATTTTCCAGGAAGGTCAAACTCCAGTCCAGGCTGTCCCTTCCTAACTCTGGTGTCACACATCAGACTCTCCAAATGATCCCCTGAAGCGCTTTGCTCATGAGCTGATGTGAAAGGGAAGCAGCACTCTCCCCACTCTTGAAGGAAAAGTGATGGTCACCATTAGGTGAACATTGTGATTTGCATAAATCTCTGTCTCCACTTTCAAATCTTTTCCATGAAACACATGTACGAAGGGTTTAAGGATCTTTTGGCTGTTAATTTTGACATTTTTGCATGGTAGTGTTTTTAAGATAGAGTGCACATATTGCCTTCTTTCAAAACTGAGATAGGAATCTAATTTTAGCACCCTATCGCATATATTTCCCTAGGACCGTCCCTGGCCTTTGGTGATTAATGACTAGTGCATTAGGAAGATGGATCAAGTGAAGTTTGCATGACAGCCTGCTATGAGATGGAAGGAAGACTAGTTTGAGTCTCTAGGAATCCAGAAATTTAAAAAAAAATTTAATAAATTGGAGATATTTAACTCAGAGGCAAGAAACGTTAGAAAGGCATAGATAAAGATGCCTTTGTAGGAAAGATCTAATTCTTTTTGTTGAAGATGAAAAATTAGGATGAATGGGTGATTTGCAGGGAAATAGATTTGGAATCAATACAAGACTTTTCTAATATCAGTGGCATGATAGCTTGTCCTTATCATGAGTGTCCCATTATTGGGAGAGTGCAAGAGATTTGATTATTTTACCCACCAACCTATTCCATCCAGGAAATGACATCATTATCCAATGCTCAGAGTCATCCTTGATTTCTCCTTTTCCTTTATTCCCATATCAATCCATCAACAAATCATCTTTCATACCTCCAAAATATGTCTAACATATATTTGTCCAGTTCCCTCCACTAATAATGTCCTCACCTAGTCCAGGCCCCATCATCTGTCAACTGCACTCTTCCAGTTGCCTCCTAATTGCTCTGTCTGTGTTTACTCACAAGTCTCACAATCCGTTCTCCATATAGGAAGTAGCCAGTGGCCTTATAAAAATGCAAGACAAAGCACATCACTGCCTTATTTAAACCCCTCCTATGGTTTCACCTTGAACTTAGGATAAAACTCCAACATCTTAGCCTCGTCTAAAAAGCTCCATATGGTCTGGCCACGGCTGCCTCTCCAAACTCATCCCAGCTCATAGCACTCAGCCACACTGGCCTGTTTTGGTTTTCCAGACAAGCCAGGTTCAT